GCAACTGTGTAAACATTGCATCTTCATAATCGGAATGTTCTTGTATAACATCTTGTAATGTTTCTCCACCAACACTGGTATTCTGAAGTAAAACTTGATATTCTTTCATTTGTTGCAACACACGGTCATACTTGTTCCGTGTAAGCCTAAGATAGTTTTCTAGTGCGACATAGTTAACTGGAGTTTGTTTACTCATGTTTTCACATGTGCTAATCTGCCGTGCTAAATGTCCCCTCAATCCTGTGAGGGTTATTTGGACATTTTTGACAGTAGACATCTTGGAAGTACTTGTTAGTCGTATAGACTAGTGTCAGGACTATTTATGGCACTTGTATTAGTAAAGCCACTAGTTTCCGAACTAGAGCTACTTATCATTTATTTAAATATACATTGTATAATCATACACACTATAATTTGAGTGGTAGACCTGTATCAATGCTGGTATCCGCAAGTTAGCCCTTCATTATCACTCTTGGTTTGTACAGAGACACAGGTTAACACTCAAAGGTGTAATGATTATAGTTAAATTATACTTAATGTTATATTGATATCATATTGACAACACAACTCGGGTTGTCTTAAATACTGCATAAAAATATGTACTTGCTAGGTTGTAATATGTGTTCAACTCTAGACAAGTGTTAAATTCTTACCCTTACACCAGGTTAGCACAATAAATTAGACTAGGTTGCTGTACAACACCAGTCTAAAATGTTCTACCCTTGTGCAAGAATTAGTTGTAAATAATGTGGCATGCAGTAAATGTTACAGTAATGGCAATAATAATGCAATAATTACAAAAAAACATCTATAAGTAACTTATAAGTAAAGTAGCCTCTTATCAACCTCTTGTAATGAAATGAAAAAAGCACAATTGTTCCTATGGTACTGCTAGAACAATAATAGTGCTTGTTGTAAGTTCTGTTTACAATGAGATTGAAAAGTTAGGCTAGAAAAAATGCAAAAAATATAGCAGTGTCTTCCTGCTATAATGTGTGTAGGTAATATTGCACTATCACTATATGTATGTATAATATCTAGTTCCAAAGGACCAAATAATCCGGTTCCGAAGGAGCAAATAATGTGGGGAAATTCCAGGCAGCTAATCTCTCTTTTTCAAATTGACTTAATAATAAAATAATGTCTTATTTATTTTTCTTAGTAAGTAAGAATTAATTCAGTGGACTGTATATACTGGTAAACTGCCTGAAATCTTCTTACACACTATTGGGAGGGACAATTGGTAGCCTAAACCACTTTGTTATGGCTCCTTCTTAAACTACCAATTGTTTACCTTTTAATCTGTAATATTTCAGTATACCACATATGATGGTCTAATCTACTAATAATAATTAATTATGACTACTACTACTAAGAGTATTAATGGCTTAGCTGTGCCAGTAGAGTGGGCCTGGTAAGGCGTGTAGGTGTAGCCTCAGATTGGGTGTGGCCCTGTGCCTCCTGGTGCCACGTAATGGCGGCTTGTGGGGAGAACAACGTCTGGCAAGCAATATTAATGTGTATGAACCAACTGTCTGCTCAGATTCTTGATGCTCCTCTCACAATTTACCTGTATGGGATGCAAGGAATTAATCAAAGTTCCCTAAACATATCAATTACAGGTATGGCATGAACTGTGAGGGCTATAATGGGGTTAACGTACATTGTTTTTGGGGTTCTCCCACGACCTAACCATCTACCCATCAATATTAAACAGTGCACTAGAATAATATACAATACTTGGTAGACGGATTCAGTCGTTGTTGTGATGTTGGTAGGCTGTGTTTCTGGTTGTTGACTCGTAAATGAGGTGTCTAGCTGTTTACACCAGTTCTAGAGCCAATACAGTGTGGTGGCTGCTCTGTTGTTGTTGTTAAGAAGAAGCGGGAGCCTCCCTCCCCCTCTCGGGCAACGCCCTTAACGCTGGTTCCTCACTCAAAGTAATTTTACATTAACAAGGAAACCTAGCTACAATACTGTGTAAATAATTATATTCAGTCTTATTGAATACTTTTTTGTTAACTCTAGATATTAAACTAGTCTATTAACAATGTTTCATAATGTAAATATACGATGACTTCCATGACGTCACGGAGTCGATGACGTCACGGAGTCGTCCATTTTCCATCCTGAAGGGATTACAGACTAGGGGAGACTGTGTTATTTGTGTGTGTGTTGTGTGTGTGTGTCGGTTTCCCGACAGCCCTCAGGTAAGTTCAGATTAAGTCAAGTTAACCATTTAAAGAATTGAAATGAAAATGAAATGAAAAGAAAAATAATTTGGAATGTTTGGTTTGGTGTTGGGCTTAAGGCCTATCAACTTCTTGAGAGTTAAGGCTATGACAGTATAGCTTACTGATCAGCCATTAAGTATAGTTAGTCCTTAACTAAAGTATACCCTTCATTTTATATAAAGTATACCCCTCCTTTTCTATAAAGTATACCCCTCATTTTCTATAAGGTATACCCCTCATTTTCTATAAGGTATACCCCTCATTTTATAGTTGAGGGCCATAGGACTAACAACACTGTGGGGTACACCTGTGTATATACAGTACTGTATCACTTGCTCTACTTTTTTTTTTAGAATAACTACTGCATAAGGAAGTAAAACAAGCAGGTAATCCGTGTGTGTCTTATTAAAATCAGTTGTACATATCACAAAGTTAAATACATATTATGAATTAGCGTACACACAGTTGTAAGAAATACAACGATATACACAAGCGCTGGGAGTACAAGCTGCTTCAACCTAGGATAACTTCTTACGTTCTCTTTCTGTAGCGCCAGGCCCACATGCCCTCCGTCTCTCCACCCAGCATGTATTCTCTCACTCGTGAATGAATGGGTTGCTTACTACTCATGCTGCAACCCGTTCTCGCAAATTTAATAAGTCAATATTGACTTATTATATATGTGCATAGTTGACATACTTAACATAATAGATACCCTTAAAAAGATTCATAGAAAACACCGACCTTACCTAACCTTGTTAGTATCTTAAGATAAGCATCTTATTGCTTCGTAATTACAATTATTACCTAACCTATAATAGGTATAGGTTAAGTAATAATTGTAATTACGAAGCAATAAGATGCTTATCTTAAGATACTAACAAGGTTAGGTAAGGTCGGTGTTTTCTATGAATCTTTTTAAGGGTATCTATTATGTTTAGTATATCACCTATGCACGTAGTTAATAAGTCAATATTGACTTTACGAATTTGCGAGAACGGGTTGCATGCTGCTGCTTGGATGCTTTCACACACATGTGAATTGGATGCATACATCTTCTCATGCCGATTTTTGGATGCTCTCTCGCTCACACTCGTGAATAGGATGCTTACTAATACTCGTGCTATAATGTTACAATGCTTTCTTGCTCTCACACATAAATGAGATGCTTACATCTCATGCTGGAGTTTGGACGCGCTCTCTCAAATATACACGAAATGATTATTACTACTCATATTTCTGCTGTCATTAAACATGAATGAGAACACTACTCGCTGCTTGTTAGTCTGATGCTTTCTGTTGATGTAACTACTATCCACTCTCCATTCACTTGCTAATATGACCATGTAGTCAAAAATGTTTCCCTACACATTCTTCAGATGTATCATCTCTCTCTTTTATAGCTTGATTTCAGTACCTTCATGACCTCACTTGTTCACATCACTCAGGTTGTTCCCATTCACATTATTATGACCAGGAATATTTTACTCCTATTAAATTTCAAATTGCTTTTATCGGCACATACTGTATTACAGTCATACGTTTAGATCATTCACTCATTATTTGATCTGATATTGCACTTATGGTCAAAAAAGACAGATCATCATAAGTACTGTATATATATCACTACACATTTTACAACCTCTGCAATCAGATCAGATCAGAAATTGATCAGTTCACTTAAAGATTTTTTATTCGCATACATACACACACATACACCTACCTTGTTAACACTTTTCACTGTCCATATATTCTACAATATTTACTATATATATACCAACCACCCACGCACCTGAATGTTGTGATTAGATTTAGCCTTAGATAAGAGTGACATTCCAATCTCGCCTGCTCAGATCAAATGATCTTGAACATGTCACTCGTGATCATGGAATGATACAACCCAAAAAGAAAATTATACTTCTGAGATAGATTTTTAAAAAGAGATATAAAATATAAAGCTTTGATTTCTGATAGAAAGGGGGGGGGGGCTGCTGGAGAGCAGAGCAGTGTGTGTTGGGGTGGGGTGGGGTGGGGTGGAGTGAGTTTGTGGAGTGGGTGGGTGGGTGAGATGGGTAGGGTGGGGTGGGCAATGTGGGCTAGTCTTAAAATTAATATAAAGTGGTAGGTGTTGAAGGACCTTACTAACTTTTTCTTAAATTACCATTAATTGTTCTTGTGAGAGACACGCGAGCATATGCTTGAAAACGAAGACCACATTACAGCTACTTAGCCTATAAAAGTTTCCAGAAATCAACCATCACATGTGACACTCATTCATATTATTACTTCACTGTAAAGCAATGTCTCCTTTCAACAGCTTTTCATGTGGTACAGATTCACACCTGTGAACATTTTATCTGGTCTTAACTAGAACAATGCGTGCTACTGGTACATTAAGGACCAGAAAACTTCTATATAATCAGTAAAATCAAATGAATGTTTGTAACTGATCACTTGCTGTAAAAGCAGCCATTATGGAAAAAAAATAGATGCACATAATAATATTTCTAAATTTCTTCTTTTGGACATGCAGTGTGTGCTCTGCATGTATTTGTGAATTGCAATGTGTCACAATAACATGGCTGAAGAGTTGATATCCAACCCATATGTCTGAAAATAAAGAATCAATGACGTTTCAGTCTGTCCTGGACCATTATCGCAACTACGGTTATGATTACGCGACTTGATAATGGTCCATCTTGGATGGACTGAAACATTGTCGTTTCCTTATTTTCTTTCTTACTGTGAAATAATTACAAAGTCAAGGAACTGATATGATTTATTGCTAAGTAAAGTATATCCATATACTAGTATTGTATATGACAACAGTTCATGCTTAACATTAGTAATCTCTACAAGTGGTGGCAAGGCATTTGCAGCTACTAATATCGGTTATTAACTGTGAGTTTGCGTGAGTTATTTTTACTCTATTACTGTATTCGTAAGCTGCTACAACGTTGCTTATTCCCACAATGAATATTTGTGTTGAATGCTTTCTTTTGCTTGATCACACCATGGATAAAAAAAAAAAGTACTTAAATTTAAATGACTAAAGGAGTAGTATCAAAATAAATATAAAAGTATTGGATGTATTGTACAGCATAAAACCTGCTAATTATGAAGCAGGTAGTGTGTGCCGAGTGCCACAGCACCAATCCCACAAAACTGCTCATAAGGGCTGAATATAGAAGGATGGGGTGGGGGGAAGGTTGTAGTGTACCTACAGGGAAAATCCCCTTTATGTATTGATAATGGGTTTTCTTTACATGGCTTTGCCATTAAATAAAAGCTTGGCAGCTGTAGTTAAATAACATCCACCAGAATGGTGTTGTATCATTATTCTCAGTAACACAGTATTTGATCTTAGAAGCAACCGGACTGTTTTAGAAAACTATGGACATAACGAAGTAGGTAACTTTTCAGTGATTAGTTGCTTGCTCTTATTGACCAACTTGTCATGGATGTCAGAGGTGAATTAGAGCATCAGGAGAGACTTATTCTATAGCATATTAACAATTATATAATTTTTAGGATAAAAAGCAATGTAAGTCACCTGCATGCTAACCTGTACATTGCAAACAAGAATAGAATTTCTCATATTCACTCCAGCAATGTTTTTCTTTTTTAAGAATAACAATAGCCTGAAATGCACAATTCTAATTTTTTAAATAAAAATGATTCTAGAATAAACATGAGAAAAGCCATTCTGTTTATAATCCCAGTGATAGTGTAATAAGTAACTGATATGTGGAACAGCCAGGAGTGTCCCATGATATACGAGTGAGTGTATGCCTTCACACCGCACATATAAAAAAGTGGATGCACCCAAGTCCAGTCAAAATATGACAATAATGTTTACAGCATTCAGTTTTCCAATATTTTAGCTAGTTACTATTACTATAAATTTACCTTAAAAAAAACACAAAAAACAATAAAATAATACTCTACTCTATAAACTGTAATTTTGTAAAGCAAAAAGCTACATATAGAAACAGGATGTTTGTATTTACATATACAGTAGTCTTAAATTTGTATCCTATTCTATACCGTAACAGCAACTGAGTACACGTACACATTGGATCTTTTGTTTAGCAGATGGGAGTACGCTGCAAATTTCTAGCGTACTAGACTTATCTTAATGTTTCTTAAAGTACTGAAGCTACTCCACACTAGTCAGTGAAGCAGTTTTCTTTGATACAGACATCAATATACAAGATGTAGTTACATACAAACACAAGCCTGTACTTGTAAGGCAATAAACAGGTTTTATTCTATTTGAAGGACATTCATGAAGCCAGCATTAATATGCCTTGCTGAGGGATAACCTCATTGTTATCTTCAACACACAATATGGTGGAAAGGTGTCATTCTTACACAAGCTCAAAACTGCTGGCCTCATTGCTACATATGAAGACTACACTGAATCACAAGACGAACTCTTGCTGATGAAAGAAACTCTTTATTTTATTGTGTATGCATAAGTTTTAGAACCAACTGCTAGCTAAATACAACTTTAATATGGTCATCAGTGATACAGTAATACCAAGCTATACAGAAACAGCTAAAACAAATAAAAGCTTCATACAAAGCATGTATTTTTAGGTTCATCTAATGCAAATTAGTTCTAAAACCATTTGACACAAAAAACCTGTGATTCTTCAAACAACATTAGAGTACCTCATTCTGCATTTTTTTGTTTGGGTGTCTTTGCAATACCACTTGCTCCATGTTGCCCACAGCATGGAGGGAATCAGTTTGTAGCTTCTGCACATATGTCTTGAATAAAGGAAATGATTATATATATAATATATATATATATATTATATAATTGATATCTTTCAATCTGCTTTCAAATACTCAGAATTAAAGTCAAAACCAATACTGTATGTGTTTTGTGCAAGAAGTAAAAACTATGGTATGAGTGGCACTTAATATTTGTATTTGAGACATTAAATGAAGAAAATTAAATTATTTGACATGAATGCTGATAGTTATGTGATCTCGAATGTTAATTTGTATATATTAAAGAAACTTAGGTAATACAATGTCAGGTAGCAGTGTAATGGTTGTCATTTGTGAAGTTATCAATTCGTCGAGTTGGAAATATTGTACTCGGAAGCAAACTTACATCAATTTGGATGATTGTATAAAAAAAAATATATGCATTGGAAGAAAATATCAGCATTTATTAATCACTACCATACTAATTGACTATTATGGATGGGGTTACTATTAAAATGAAAGTGCTTCTAATTGATGTAGACAGGAGCCACATTAAGGATTTAACAATTCCTGCTTTCATACTTTGACTATGCCTATCTTTAAATTTAAAGCTCTTTGGTTAGCTGATTAATTTTGAGTTGTCACAAAAAAACTGTATATGTCTTGATGTATAGTAACAGTTTGTAAAGAAACCTTAACCAAATACAGTAATCTTAATTCTATATTTGTCTGTCATAAATTATGGGAAAGCTGTTTAAATTCTGGTTACTTCATCTAGTTACAACAGTGTGTGTGTGTAATGACCAGACATTAAAAATAACTCACTATAGATATGTGACAGCACCTCACACGAGACCTCTCCAAGCACCCATTTTCCAATGTATGTCTTTATTGAAAACAAGACCAACTGTAATACAGTAATCCATATTGCTGCATTAAACAGCAAGTCACCGCTGCTTTTCTTTGAAAATGTAAGATACATAAATATAGAAACCAAGTTCAATTGCTTATGAAAAGAGAACTATAATTCAATACCACAAACTAGATACAAATGGGCATCTGCATTAAAATCTATGTAAACTGACTTCATAGCTAAACTGTAATACCCGTGGATTGATTTCTGACAGGTGGAATGAATAATTCTCAGGGACTAGAAATTGAGGGCCATAAGATATGTCTGTGTTCTGTCTCCTGTTCTCCAATTTGCAATTCACCCTTAAACATGATACATACGAAACCACACTGCTCACTCTTGGTGGTACGGCTACAGTTTACAATGTTATAAGGCTGCTTGGTGTTCATTATTGGTTTTTGCGTGCATCTCTGTTGGATATTTTCATCAAACTTGTATGTTTGTGTCCTTTTTGTAATATTTCAGAAAACTGTCAGGAATGTATGTTCATGTGTTTTGGCCGGTTCATAGTTTGGCTTGAATACACAGAACCATCAAAATTTCACTGAAATTATAAGACCCTTTTATTTTAGGCTCTTGCTTATAAACAAATATTTGCAATCATATATGACCATAGTTCATATTTAAATTATTATACCTTTATCTACATATATCCTCACATCAAAAATTGTTAGGGGATTGGGTTACTGTATCTTCTAAAGTGTGTTATTATGTTTCTTCTTTTACATGTATTTCCTGGTGATCCACACTGCTAGGCGAGGATGGACCAGGGAGCCAATCTCACAGTTAACAGTGCGGGTCTCTCCATTGATGACAAAGATAGCAGCCTCAGCCGGGGACACCATGTAGTGACCAAAGACCCCGGATGACACGATAGGTCGATTCGTGTTGCTCCACTCGGTCAAGCCAGGTTGCATTGCCTTGCCCACTCCTGTGATCATCTCTACCTTACCTGAATGAGATAAAAATTGTAATGTTTTAGTTAGGAAATTTACTATTTGAATATGCTGTATACTGAACAAATCTACATGGGTCGTGATGAGGGTTCAAACCTAAAGCCCCTAGGTTCCCGCAGATGGTTTTCCCTACTGCAGGAACCTATGGATCCCACAGCCTCTCTGAGACACAAACCGGGGTTTTACACAATTCCCCCATGCACCCGGGCGCTATCAACCAGATGTTCTACCTCTGTGTCCTTACTTCAATACACACACAAATCACAATAGCGTGATACATCAAATGAACAAATCCACAAGGGCCGTGAAGAGGGTTCGAACCTACGTTCAGGATGATCCCAGATGCATCTTAGTCAACTGCACCACAACATGGTCAAAAGAATTGCAACATGTCGTGGTGCAGTTGACTAAGGGGTCTAGGATCATCCCGGATGTAGGTTCGAACCCTCTTCATGGCCCTTATGGATTTGTTCATTTGATGTATCACGCTATTGTGATTTCTGTGTAATGCTGCACACTGAATGATGTGCATGCATAATTTCAACCTCTACCAACACTAACGAGAAAGTACAGCTCGCCATACACTACAAGAGTAAAACAACAAAATCATAAACTCACACCAAACAAAATGCCTTAAAAAATGAAAGGTATAGATGACATTCATCTTTTACATGAGCTCAGAGAGGCAAGTGTTTTGGTGTTGATTGATTGATGAAGATTAAGCCACACAAGAGGTGGCATGGGCATGAATAGCCTATTAGTGGTGGCCCTGTGGAGCCATTAACAGTATCAATAGCTGATACTGGAGATCTGTGGAGATGCGACTGCACCTCTCTTGGTGTTGGTTGACTCCTGCCTTTATAGGACTAAGGCCAGGATTAGTGGCAAGCCTAATGAGGTGTGGATCCCGGGTTTGGCCTGCTACCATGTTTCACATTGCTCTTCACCAGTAAGTGGTTGTAGGATCTAGAGTTATAGGTACACAACATGTTATAAAAAGGGGGTACAAAATTTTGGCATCTAGCTTCCCTTCTCCTCAGCTTCAGTTCCTGAGCACTGCCTTGTGAACACCATCCCTATATGGCTGCATGATTCTCTCTTCCTCCTCACCTTCTGCTCATGCCCAAGAGAGGCAGTGACAACCTACACAGGATAAAAGCACCCCCATGCCCATCTTGTGGGCGGTAGTGGAAAGGGTTACAGAGGCACATAATGGGCTCAGGGACTGAACCCCACAATTCATTTAGCTAAGCAAGTTACAATCTTGATGAGCTAGTTACAAAATTCAATATAAGTCGTCACATCAACAATGGGTTCGAGATCGACCACAAGTACAGTTTCTAAATTAAGCAACTGACATGTGTGGAGAGCTAGTGTCACAATTGATATGTTTGTCCTGCACACCGCCCACTATACATTCCATCTGTTAACTACTCTGACACCTGAAAAAGTTCTTTCTAACATCCCTGTGGCTCATTTGGGTACTCAATCTCCACCTGAGTCCCCTTGTTCACGTATCACCCATGTTAAACAGTTATATCTTTATCTACCCTGTCAATTCCTCTGAGAATTTTGTAGGTAGTGATCATTCTCTCGGAGATCTCCTGTCTTCCAGCAATGTGAGGTGCATTTCAAGCAGCCTCTCCTCGTTCTGGAACTAGCCTAGTGGCATACCTCTGAACTTTTTCCAGCTTTGTCTTGTGCTTGACAAGGTACGGCTCCATGCTGGGGGCCGCATACTCCAGGATTGGCCTTACACATGTGGTATACAAGGTTCTGAAGGATTCCTTACACAGTTTTCTGAAGGCAGTTCTAATGTTAGCCAACCTTGTATATGCCGCTGTTCCCCTTTGTGATGTGTTCTTCATCCTTTTGCATTAGGCTTGCCCAGGACATGCCAGGAGAGGCCGTTTTCATGGCAACAGGATGCTGAAGACAAATCTTCAAATCCTACATCACGACAGAGCAGTTCTATCTTTCATACCTATGTCTCCCAACCACCATGCTTCCTTCTTCCAGCCCTGTCACAAGCCCATCTTGGATGCTGCAATTGGTTGTGGGTTTCCTGCAGCCCATACCAAGATCCCCTTTTCCCCATGCAACACCCCTCTTACAAGAGAGAGACCATTTAGCAGCCCCCTCCCCCTGTAGTTTTCCCTGTTATCATTGTATGTTCACCGGGCTAGGGTCTGTTTCTTGTCCTTATTTCCTTCCTTAGCCTCTTCACAGCTAAGCCCCATTTGATATTTATGAAGCTTTAGTTGTGATTTGTTCTGATTGTATACCTTGCCCTGTTACTTTGCCCATTATACCTTATTTTACTTTATTCTATTTCATATTTTATTTTATTTTTTTATATAAAGTATTTAAATTTTCAGCTGATTCTGTTAAATACTTGCCAATGTGTTTCCCATTTACACTTGCTCTACACTCCTTTGATCTTACTTTTCCATACCTCTACCTGTCAATTTACTGCCCAGAAATACTGTTTCTCAACAAAGCCATGGAAATATGGCTAAAGAAAAAATAAATTTGTGAACCAGTTATAGTTGAACAACTGGGAAAACAACTTTCAATAAATATAAAACAAATACATACTGTACTTGGTTGCAAAAAAACAAAGTATTACAGTATTGTATTGTTTACATGTACTGGGGTTACTCTTAGCCTACTGACTGGTGAAATATATATATATTAAAGGGTACCAATATTGTAAGTACCCTGTAGAAATTTTATTGACTGCATTTATAAAAATAACAGATGGATGTAATATGAATATAAGCCTAGGATTATTTCTAATTTGAGCTTATGATTCTTCGCATGTATATATAGATTTCAGCATAAGGATTAATGACTGCCAAAATGCACCTATAATAGCCCTAACAATATACAGAAGTATATCAGCCTGCCAAACTAACTTTAGAAATAATCAAATAGATATGAGCATCCTTTTTGTTCTACCTTATTTATTATTAGACCTTTCTTACCAGATTGAAGGTCAAGGAAGAAGATGTCGTCTTTATCAGTGGAGGCTGCATAGAGGTCGTAGCTGTGGGTGAGGCGTGACGGGAAGAAAGTGACATCACTTACATTCAGAGTGGTGATTACATCGAATACATAGTCCAGGCCATGATCTGTGTAGGGAGTTAATGAGGTTAGTATACAAAAATATTATTATTATTATTATTATTATTATTATTAATAGATGTTACAGAGATGAGTTCTGAGTTACAATTTAAACGTAAATAGAGATTTTGAGCAAAAAAAAAAAAACTATTGTAATATTTTAAGCTAAAGAAGTGCTGTTTTAAATAAAAATGATTTTTAGATTTCAATAAAAATGCAGTTTTCCTGCTTTGTAACACATGAATCATATTTAATTGTAATTATGTCCAGCGCATGAATATCTACACAGATTTAGAATAAAATTGAACAATTACATGATTAGTATTTTAATTAGTGCTTCTAATGTTATAAACAAATTCAAGATATTATTCCAGTCCACTTTTTTTTTAAAGAAGTCCAGTGTAATGCATATAAAGGACAACAGCATCAGTAAGCCACAATTTAGGACATTTTTCCCTAAGCGGTCTGTGGCAAAGGTCACAGCAAATTTGAGGGGAATAATAGCTATCTTTTATATAGGCATAAACAATTAGAAACTAATACTACCCAGGAACAAAAATTCTGTCTTTGTGCAATGAATCTTCTGTGCCACCCTACAAGTAATGTACAAAATGTAGTACTCACTGACCTGGTATCTTTTACACTATGAATGCAGTATCAATTTTTATTTTTGTACCACAGTTGCTCAGGTCAGTTTGGGGAATTCTCATCCTTCTTGCTTTGCAAGAAAGTACCACTTAATCACATCATATGTACTCTCACAATCCATTGTACCTGCTTTGTGTGTGTGTGTGTGTGTGTGTGTGTGTGTGTGTGTGTGTGTGTGTGTGTGTGTGTGTGTGTGTGTGTGTGTGTGTGTGTGTGTGTGTGTGTGTGTGTGTAATCGCTCAAGTGTAGTTACAGGATAGGAGCTATGCTCATGGTGTCCCGTCTTCCAAGCACTGTCATATAATGCTTTGAAACCACTTGACAGTTTTGGCCTCTACTACTTTTTCAAACCATCTACCACTCTGTTTGCAACAGAAAATTTTCATTTTTTTTTTTTTTTTTTTGGTGGGGGGGGGGACCTTTTATGTCCTTAGCTTGAATCTATGAGCTCGTGTTCTTGAGGTTACCAGTCTCAGGAATTTCCCTTTGTCAATTTGGTCAGTTCCTGTTATTAATGTGATGTATCAATGAGAAAATCAGTAGGAGCCTTGAGGAAAATTCAAATCCACTCACTTGTACTCCAAAGTAATGATTTTGTCACTGATGCATCACAGTAAGATGATTTCATTGTGCACAGGACTGAATCTGTCTTTACATTTATCTCCTACTTCTTCTAAAAGTTTTTTTCTGCCTCTCTTCACACCTGTGTATTTGTTTCTTGCTTGAAGTGTTGGTATGTTTGAAGGTTAGGTCTCTTCTTGTATTGAGTGTGTAAAATATTTTTTTTTTCTCTCAAGTCTAGTGATAGTATGGAGCTTCATCTACCTTCTTCTATTTCACAATTTTTTTTAATAAAGTAGTCTGTTAACCACTTCAGCTAGAAAAAATAAAGTTCCCACAACTCTCTCTGATTAAGTACAGTTTTAATAAAAAGTGCACAGCTCCTTTGAAATATGGAAGATGTAAATACTAATTATTATTTTTACAACAGGTTCTTGCCTACAGCTAGCTGCTCTAAACATAGAACAAAATACAGTAGTAGAATAACTATACTACAGTCCTAGAATTTCTGTTGCAAAATGCTGAGAAATAAAAAAATATGAAGAGAATACAGTATATTCATCTTTTTATAAAATCCTCCAAATGTGAAGTCACTCACTGAATGTTGCTACATTTTGCCACGCATTATTCTTGTTGAAAATACAGTACATGTGTATTAGATCATGCTTTACTGATGGATCTTAGCAAGAAAAATCACTGACCAAAAGGGAATGGTGATTTCGATGCTCAGTGTCCTACCTCATCAGATGCCTATCCTTCCCTAAACTATTGCATTGTGTTAGAAATTTACATCCATGGAGAAGCCCTTACTTGGTATGTACAATATTTTGCCAAACCCCTTGCTAGGAAATTTACTCATATGGATGCCTCCCCAAATGAAATGCAACTTGTCAGCTTTCCTGTCCCCCCTACTTCAACACCATACTTGTACAGATAAACTAATTTAATAGAAATAATTGCTGGGTTACCTGTGACTTTCTGCACAACAATTTTGACATGATTGAAAGTGTCAACAGTGACAATAAGCGAGGAGTCTGGAACTACATGTGGCTGTCCCATCAATGTTGTCTTGTGACTCAGGACAGCATCTGTCAGGTAGTCCAGTACCAGTTGTCCTGTCCGCCGCCCAGTCACTGGCTCATGACAGTCCATCACCACCAGTCCATCTGTGTTTGAGGGGAATATGGCTTATGAGTGATTTAATATATATTCTGATTTGTGACTTAAATAAAAATATAATTCAGTAAACAGTGTGAAATTTAGGAGCTGTGAATAGTTAAAACAAAAGATATGATTAAAATACTATAGTGGCAAGAAGCATGAAGAAGCCAATTGATTTAAGACAAAGATTGGTGCTCATATGATTCAAGGAGAAACCATATCTTTCTGATGTTCTGTATAATGTGAAGATTCTTACGTAGAGATGAGAAAACAAGATGTTGTGGAACACAATTGTAAGGCGTGAGGTCGACAGTCTTGACATACTTCATGTTAGCCAGGTCAAGCTTGTACAGACCTCGCTGGTTGGTGTGTGTCACATAGGCATACCTGAAGTCATGGCCCAGGTCCTGTTAAGGATAAAGATGATTAGTTGAATCAAAATATTTGAAGATGACTAACCATTTTCCTTAAATGTAGATTAGTTAATGAGACATATATATATACAGTATTATATATACACTGTACTGTATATATAAAATAAATCAAATAAAATTATAATAAAATGTTTATTCAGGTAAAAGTACATATAAGATGAGTTACAAATAGAATCTTGGATTTCTAGATGGAGCTAGTACATACTATGCCTAAAGCCACTAATACACACAGTGATTTGGGCAAGATGTGGATCATCAGACCAAAGTAGAATGTAGATGTATATTTCTACTTTGCTCTGATGAAAACAATTTTTATATTATATTATATTATATTTATATATATATATATATATATATATATATATATATTATTATATATATATATATATATATATATATATATATATATTTATTATATATATATATATATATATATATATATATATATATATATATATATATATATATATATATATATATATATATATATATAAAATTTATCTTTAGTTGTGAAACCATTTGCTGTTAGTTTATGTTGATCATCTTAGGTTTCGAGAACATGTTGCTCACAACATGTCTGCCAGTGAAGATACAAATGCACCTACAATGCAAGGTTTTTCATTCATTTTTAATTGAAATGATTTTTTATTTCATTTTTGGAAAACAAATCGATATTGTTTGTTACCTGTGTAGCTGGAACAAATAAGTTCTTGACCAGATCAAAGTGGCCATCAATGGGCTCTGGGTGAACCGTGTGATGTTTCTTCTTCTGTGATGCATCACGGATTACCTGGAATGTATAAGAGATTGTATGTACCAGAATCAACTGTTGCAATTTCATTTTAAATTTATATTTTAAATTTTGCCCCGAGGAGCGAGTTTATTGGGTAGCGCCACTCATCCTGTGAGTGGACATACCGCATAGCAGCTTGCACAACACTCCCCAATAGGATGAAAACCCGCTGGGTTGTTCATCCTGTCACTTGTACCCAGACACAGCTGGGACTTGCTTAACTGTCTCAAGTGAACCACTTATCAAACAAAAAGATTCACATTCATCAACCCTTAAAATCTTATGTTATCTTGCGGGTGCAAAATGGGGGAATCTTTTAAGAACAGTATCTATATTTGACAAATAGTGCTTTCCTAACTCAAACAACAGATTGAGCACCTTCATCAGTTTAAAAACTCCATGCATGAATAAACATTATTGCATTTAATATGCATTTTTTTAAATTTACATAAAATTTTTGTAACACATTTTTATTGTTACACATGAAGTGTAAATTTTATTCATGTCCTACGGCTCTCAAACATCTGAGTTTTATCATTTGTGGCTCTTGCAGTAAGCAAGATTGGCTGCCCCCTGCTATATGCCATCACAACTATCACCTTTACTCTTTCAAGCTTAAATTTACAGCTCAAGATCCTTGCACTGTAATACTTGAAGTTATTAATTTCTCAGTATCAATCATTATTTATATCATTAACAGGCAAACTTCTTTACTGTCCTGGTTTCTCTTCTACATTTCACTCCTCATTCTTCCGGCTTTTACAGGTCCACATTATTCCTTCTAACATTTAAGACATATGAACCTGTCTAATTCCTGGGGCTTGGACAGGTGTGGGTGGTAATTTTGTCTTCAGGGGGAAGAAATTTTGAAAGGCGAGTCGAGCCCAATGAATGCTGTTGCTCCCGTAACACTGGGTATGTGAACTGATGGGGGGCAGTGGGGTTCCCACATGTTTAGGGTAATGCAGTTCTATATATTTTAATTTCTTTTCTGTGAGGGAGCCCCTTAATAAGTGATGATAGCCCTTGAAGCTATTATCATTTATTAAGGGCCATACTACCTAGTGTCATCAGTTGTGGAGTTCTTTTTTGCCTACTGGGGACCATGAGCCAGAACCTGTCCCCCTCAGAGAGACGAAGGGAGTGATGGCTCCTGATTACTTTACATTTAAAGGTTATCATCTTTGCCATCACCAGGGAAGGCACCCAGAAAGGTAGGCAAATCAAAACAAACCACTGTGGTTTAAAAAATGAGACTGAAGCCCTCAAAATCTCAAAAGAACTTCCCCAAGAAAAAAAGAAACAACCAAAACAACTTCTTAAAAAACTTTGGTGCTTGGCAATTTTTTTAAAAATCTATAAAAATAGAAAGCCATCAAAATTGGATGGAGCAGACAGTGCATCTTTCCTCTCAAGTGCATAATCTTACAGTACTCTGAAAATATCACAACTATTCTTTCTTGCTTCATTTTTGTGCTTCATCTAGTATTCCTCAATAATTAAAACACTTGATGTTAATCATAAAACTTCTTGCAGGCTATTCATGCCCGTGCCACCTCTTAGGTGGCTTAATCTTCATCAGTCACTCGTAAGACTTTGAAGTCTATGGGTAGCAAGGTATTATAGAATATGTTGTGTTCATTGTGGAGTCCTGGTGTCGTCACCTCTTATTATTTTAATATATTAGTGCTGAAATTAACAAAGGTTTACAGTGCAATCTTGGAAATTAATGTGAACAATTGTGATTGATATTTGTATTCTTATTTCATGTTTTAGTTAATATATGTATATATATATATTTGTTTTTCTTTCATAAGATATTTTGCATTCTATTTATCTTTTGACTCATTTTAAATTAACATAATGTTCCCATAGATATGTTGATAAGTTTAATCACTATTGCAATGATGTAAGAAGGGTAAAAGAGGCCTTGGTGTTTCACCAGATAAGGTAAAGGACCTTCCATGTAACTGCATTTATGTAGTTACTGCTTTTCCATTGCTGGAGAAAAGAAAGCCTGCTAGACTTACGGAAGTTCTCTCTTGGCCAACAACTTACCTTCTTCAAGATGAAACCCAGAACAACTGCCCAACTCCTGGATACTTATTACTATGTAAACAGAGGCAATCAGATGTAAAGAAATGTGTTCAAATACCTCACCTTACCTGAGAAATTGAGCCTTGGTCCAATCAGTTGTAGGTCGACTGTGCTAACCACTGTGCCGTGGCACACATCACTTTTTTTTAAATAGTAAATTTGTGGTCATCAGTGAGTTTCAAAAGTATCCTGTAGATGCATACACTGATATACAGTACTAAAGCTCTTTATAGATGGTACTATGTTTGCTACCCAGTGGGAGGTGGCAAGTTCCTGTTCACTATACCTAGCGAGAGATGACAAGTTCATGTTTGCTACCCAGTGAGAGGTGGCAAGTTTCTGTTCGTTATCCAGAAATAAAGTTTCTGTTCGCTACTCGGTGAGAGATGGTTGGTTCGCATTATCTACCTAGTGAAAACATAACATGGCAAACAATCTTGACATGTTTAAGGTGTGCATGTCTCAATTATTTACTCAAAGCAGCAAACTATTGTTGTTAGATGGGTCAGTTTATGAAAAAGTACACCATAACATTAACAAAATTATTACTACAGTAAAGGATTTTCAGTTTTTTTATCTAATTTTTTTACCTAACAAAAAGTCTCCCTAAATATGTTATCACAGTGGTGTACACTCTTTCATTTACTGTATTTCTTAACTGCAACACTGATTCAGAAATAGCAAAGCATGTATTTGACTACCTATATCTAACACAAAAAATGCTTTGATTTGTATGTGCAATTTACCTTAGTAGGTGAGAGAATTACCTGTATGGTCTTGACTCCCTCGTCCTTCGTGGAGCGCCAGTTGAGGACCCAGACTTGGTCCAAGTTTGGCACGTAGGAAAGGTCCACTGGATACTGGTCAGTCACAATCACCTGCAAACAAAGCACCTTGCCTTAAAATTTCATGCTAAAAACTATTTGCAAATCAAGAATATTTAATTAATTTTCATTAATGATTAAAGCTGCTGCCATAATATCCCATCTATACTGTCTAATTACAGTACAGTATTACAAAGTTTTTGGAATGGTAATCAACTATATTTGGAAAAAGGACTGTTGATAGATGTTGTTGTGTACATGCAGCAATAAAACTTTTGATAAGATACCCCATGAAAGATTTATGCAAAAACTACCTGCGCATGGAATGAACAATAACATACTGGAATGGATAAAAAATGATTAAATCAAAGAAAGCAAATTATGGGTTGTTCTAAATGGAAAAACCTGTCTTGGAAAAAATGTTGTGGGTGAAGTACTGCAAGGGTCCATCTTGAGGTCAACCGGCCCTCTTTGTAATGTACTGTACATGGATGATATTGATGAAAAACATTGTCAAACATCATTATATATGCAGATGATGCAAAGATCTATCGAAAAGTGGGAAGTGAAAATTATATCGAGGTCTTGCAAACCAGACATATCAAACTCCACAAATTTGCGTGAATTTACCACCCCCTCAGTGGGTGGTAAATGTGGTGAAGGGGTTCTTGTGTGCTGCCTGCTGGTAGAAGCAGGTAGCTCATGCTCCCTTCTCCTGTCTACTGTTGTGGTATACAGTACAAGCAAAATACACCTCCTTTGCATTAGTTGTGCATGGAGAGCCGTGCATTCCCTTATGTTCCTTCATCTGAGAGTTAGGCCCACCCAGCAGGTGCAGCCCTTTGAAGGCAACATGCTTCTTTGGTCGAGGAAGGAGACTGGTAAAACAGATGGCTTAGTGTAGCCCACCTGAACCAATTGGCTTGTCTAGTTAGACATCAATTCAAGTGGGCATTATGGGGTTGGTATCCCTACTGGTCCCTGGGGATACCATTAGGCCCTACAATGGTGGCTCACATATACTGTTCCAGTTACCCCTGAGGTTGCTTGCCCATGTGCTTGTTCCTTCCCTTGTTGGGCTCCATTATGGTGGGAGTGCTTCTCAGACTCATTGGGTGGGTGATCAGGCCACCCCGAGTCAGATTGTGTTGGAAGATTGGGCTCCATAACTCTGGCTATAGTGGACCCAGACCAGGTTTTGTCCTTGAATACATCTTTGAATCCTTTTTCTTTTCCCTAGCCTCTTCCTTGGCAGGGTTGACTTTAGAGTCCCCAATGGTGTCTACCATGTAACATGGAGTGACTCATTCCTTGGTGATTGATATGGTGCCATTTGCTCACATCCTTCCAAGAGGTCAGAGATGATATCCTTGCCATAAATTATTTGTTTCCTGCAATAATTATTTTCTATCATATAAGTGTTAATGATTTTTGCAAGAAAGTAATTTACACACCAAGATTCTTATGATCTTACATAACTATCCTGTAAGTGGTTGAAGTAAAATAAAATTAATTATAAATAAATGAAGCAACACTTTAAATTAAATCCTCTATCAATATACAAAAATAACACATGAAAGGGTGGATAATGCTTATCAGTATGTGATCAGCAGGATGGCATGACAGGGATATTTACACTGAGATGTGTACCAGTGCATCTCTCTCATATACAGGGTACAGAGATTACTGGAATATTAAATCACCCAAATATACTTCTTGATTGGTCAGCAAGCTAATGTGGTGGGTTTAATCAGCCCCATTCTCTTGACTTGCTAAAACAGACAAAAATACAGGGTATTGAAGCATGCCAATCCAAAGACACTCACCAACCCTAACCAAACCAATGCATAGAAACCATGGATGCTTGTGAGCCGCTACTTTTCACAGTACCCCATATTTTTGTCCACTGAGGTACTGACACAGTACCCCATATTTTGTCCAGCAACCAGGAGGCCTGGTCGACGACCGGGCCGCGGGGACGCTAAGCCCCGGAAGCACCTCAAGATATGGTTCCAGGATTATAGCTTTCAAAATGAGGTGTATTATTTGGGAGGACAGGTTGGCTTAATAACCCTCCAGAGACTGATAGGCCTTATATAAGACCAAACCAAACTAAGCAGAAAGAGAAGCCAGGCACATGCCGGCATGTGAAGTAAGCGCCTTTATACTCACATCCACGACGACCATCTGGGGTACCGAGACGACCAGCACTCTGTCCCTCCTGGGCTGAGTGACATAGATGTACCTCTCGGCCACGTTGATCGCTCGCCCCCATGAGCAATTTGTACCTGTCCATGACACCAACGATATGTTAGCACAACTGACATTGCTTAAGTTTTATGTTGTAAATAAATACTGTTTTACTGAAACACATTACTGTATACATACATACATACAACCATACATAAAGATGGTGGGCCCCAGGTGATATATAAAAATTCGGGATTCACAGTTCACAGACCTGGGTTCAATTCCCAGCTGAAAAGAAGAAAATGGGCAGAGTTTTTCACCTCAAATTAAATCAAATGTTTATTCAGGTAAAGTACATACATACAAGGTGAGATACAAACGTTGATGGATTTATAGAGAGAGCTAGTGCATACAATGCCTAAAGCCACTATTACACAAAGAATTTCGGGCAGAACAATATTAAGATTAAAACTTAATACTAATTGAGATTAAAGTATAAATTGTGCTGAGAAAATAAAAAATAAAAAAAGGGGGGAACATGGCAGAACAAAAGGAAATATACAATGCCTCCTGATGCATCTATTCACCTAGCAGTATAGGCACCTGGGATGTGTGTGTGTGTGAGAGAGTAATTTAGGACAGAAAAATTGGTCAGGCGCCAGTACATTATACAACTTCAACAAAACCTTGTAGATCTGAGGCAAAGTGAAATCGACACCAGTAATTCCATCTATCAATATCTATCATGCTAGAGGAGCCACACATCTATGGTTCATCCAATAAAATCAGCAGACTTCTAGATGTTATTACTGCTCGGCTTAGACTCGTGATTGTAACCTATCCACCGCTGCCCACTGGATGGGGGGGGCGGTGTGCAGGACAAATATATCAATTGTGACACTAGCTCTCCACATATGTCAGTTGCTTAATTTAGAAACTGTACTTGTGGTCGATCTCGAACCCAACGATGGTGTGACGACTTATACTGAATTTTGTAACTAGCTCATCAAGATTGTAACTTGTTTAGCTAAATGAATTGTGGGGTTCAGTCCCTGAGCCCATTATGTGCCTCTGTAACCCTTTCCACTACCACCCACAAGATGGGTATGGGGTGAATGAACTAAACATTATACAATGCCGACTAGAAAGGCGGGGTTCAATAGCTAATGGTTCGATCCTGCAGGCATAAATAGAAAATACACATAGACAAACCACACGGGAGACATCTCCAGTCCCGCAGGGTGCAGTCGCACCTCCACAGATCTATAGTATCATCTACTGATACTGGTTATGGCTCAAAAGGGCCACCACTTACGGGCTATTCATGCCCGTGCCACCTTTTGGATGGCTTAATCTTCATCAACAATCATCAATCAATCAGACAAATCACACACTTACACTCTCCGTTTACCCCCTGCAGTCCCCCAATTACCTTTGTCACCGCAGACATACTCCTGCGTGCCGGGGATGACATCAGTTCCTTGAATAACGTGGAAAAGTCGGCACTCGTCTGGCTCATAGACTGCTATTCCCCAGTCATGGAACACGAACACTCTGCTCTCCTGCTGCTCCCCCGCTGCAAAACATAGTCGCAAGGTAAGCTAATTATCAAGAGAAAATGCTAAGCCAGCATGACTGTATAGCACCTTGAAGGTAGTATGAGGACAAGGAGCCGAGGCACGAGGAAGCTGAATTGGGGCATGAGGACGGTGCCCATTTGGACCATCGGGTATTAAGCACTGATTTCGTAAGACATGATTGTTTAATACCCGACCAGTCCACGTTACAAGACCCTTAGTATTTAGATGATGCTTTCCAACTGGTAATCTAGACAATATAGCCAACAATTTGTGAAGGGTTGGTATGGAGTAAAATAATGATATTCTACTTCAATTTAAAAAATTTAATCCTTAGATATCATCCATCCACTTGGACTGGTCGGTCAAGCAATACCCTCACTTCTTGCAGGGTCGGCATTCTATCCCTGACGTTCCAAGTGGTCAGACATCTTTATTTATGCTGCTTGTAAACCAAGCACATTGTCCTCATAACTCTTCCAAATGCTACTTAATTATACTAGCTTTACACTTTTATCCTGGTGATTCCCTTAGTCAAGTTTTTAACATTGCTCATAGTTGCATACAAAATTACTGTATTATAGGTTCAAGTCTGGTTTAGTGGGTCAACAATTCATTGATTGAGGTTGCTAACTTTGATATAACAGTTCTTCACCATAAGGTGAAGAACTGTGTTATATCAAAGTTCCATTTCTAACAGCCAACTGTTATAATCAAACTACAGGTATATTAAATAAGCATAAAAAAGCCACTATACTCTTTCGTCACCCAAAATCTTATGTGCTCCAAAGAGTGCCAAAAAACATCTAGAATACAACATGGCTTCTCACTGGACTTCAACCACCACTGCTGCCTGCGACCTTGTCACAGCTGCGATTTTCACCCTGATCATCTCCACCTGGTCACCCCACAGCATCATCTGCTACGTAAACTACACCATGTGGGACCTATATACAGCTTGGCCTGCCAACTCTTTGTCTTATGTAGGGCATACGTAAATCTGTGTATCTGTGTATTTACGTATGTAGATTAGCTTAGCATTTTAAAAGCACCGAATCACCTTCTGTGGTTGATTGTTCAATAAACCCCTGAACTATATGTTTAATACATCTCTAACCCTGTCCATGGAGGACAGAAAAAATGTATATATGCTGGTTAGCATTGTAAATGTGTGGCCACGTCTGTGGTAGAAAATAATAATAATAAAAAAAAACTCTTTGTCGCCACCGGGCAATGCAGATCCAACAATATCTCTTCTCTCCTGACCAGTCCGAAAAGCTGCCATTATGCCTCTCCGTGACCTCGATGCTCCTGCATTACTCAACACAATGTTGCCTACATCACCACCTATGGCCCCTGGCAAACGAGCCTGTCTGCATGCTACCTGTCTCAATTGGCACCAGATCTGCATGCTCTACCAGCGACCCAGGACACTACAACCCCATTCTCATCTCTGCTACCACTACCCTGTATGGTCTCGGTGACTGAGCCCGTTCATACAGTGCCTTGCGTGTCAATATGCACCGGATCAACGTGCTCCACCAGTGACCCAGGGAACGATCACCTTCTGAATTTACCTGAGGGCCATTAACACACTAGTGGCTTCGACGAAGACAGGAAGCCAGCGGCTTGTTCAAGGTCCCTCCCCCCTCCATTTGCCCTGAGGATTTTTTCCAGCTGGATTTTTAAAGATTAACACGAGTTTTGGCACTTACGACTTCGACGGGTAGGCAGTTCCATAGGTTTATAACCCCGTGGGGTGGCTACTACGGGGGTTACTACGCTACTACTACTAGTCTAGTTCCAACTAGCCTTGCTACAGAGCAGACATCCACTTCTAGCCTCAACTGAGTTCTCCGCTCTCGCCCTCCTTCAAACTCCTCTCCTGGCCTCACCCAAGCTCTCTACTCTCGGCTTCATTCAAACTCTCCACTTGCAGTCACCTTCAGTACCACGTCCTCCTCATATGACTCCACAAGCAGCATGCAACAAGCATCCTTATCTCAACCTATCATGATACAGTTGTTCCATTTCTAACATCCAGCTGTTGTAGCCCAAACATATTAAAGAAACATAAAAAAACCATACTCTTTGAATATTGTTATCCAAAATTGTATATTTACCTGATGGCCAATAACCCTAGCTGGCCTCGACGAGGACAGGAAGCCGGCGGCTTATCGAAAGCCGCCCCATTTGCCTTGATGATCTTTTGCCTTTATATATGTTACAATTTCAAGCATAGGGTAGACATGTGAATGCGTTTGGGTAGATATAAACAAACGCTGCCACATGTGGGTCAATAGACCTGCAGTTCCTTAATTCTTGTATTCTTATGAATCTAAACTTATCCAATTTATATACATTCTTGAAGCCTATACCAAACTAATCCTCTCCATGATATGAGCTGGCAGGTCTTCTTTATGTACCCCCATCTTCTATATCTTTTCAGATTCTCTTAAAGAAGAGAAGGTGCCTTACTGGGTGCCGGGTTCTCCTGGACGATGAGCGAGCTGATATCCCTGGCCATGCCGCCAACGCTGGTGGCCTGACACATGTAAGCCCCGGTGTCCGCGTAGCCGATGTTGCGTACCCGCAGCTGCGTACCATTGCCCACCACCTCGTACTTGTGCGGGATGTCCACGCGCAGCGGCTCGTCGTTCTTCAGCCACTCAACCTACGGAGAGAGCAAGCAAGCACATGCACTCAAACTGTGTGCTGCCAACCTTCACACACTCAAATACCACTCTGTTCTCTACTCTTTTTTTGAAGAGGGGGACCATTGCGGGGGTCGAAATAACCAATTATTTTCACTTGCTTTTCGAAGCTGATATTTTCAAGTACATTAATATGTACTCAAACTCGGTTTCTTGCATACAGTATGTCACGAAATGTTAACATTGTACAATAATATGAATTATAACATAATTCAAACCATATAACACCACAGATGAAGCCTGACAAACAAAACTAGAACTGATGACAACCACAACAACGGCTCTAGCGCTGTAGAGAAGAACGTAGGGGGCAGGACCTTACCTTGGGGAATGGCTCGCCCGTAGCTCTACAGCTCATGATGGCTTCCTCTCCCGGCCGCAGGCTCTGGATGTGTGGAGTCACCTGCACAGTTGGCACCGCTGGTGGAAGAATCAGTGCCAGGCATTTCAGGATTTGAATACAAGAAAAAATGTAGGATTTCCTAAACAACAAATTAAATTAAAATGAAGTTGCTTCCAAGCGCGCCAGATGGTAACAGCTTGTGAACTAGGCCAATTAGCTGGACCAGTGTGTGTGTGTGTGTGTGTGTGTGTGTGTGTGTGTGTGTGTGTGTGTGTGTGTGTGTGTGTGTGTGTGTGTGGAATCACAAACATCGTGAATATAAAACCTGTCATCCAAAAGTGATACCATGTATAGTTACTATGGCTGGAAGTGCAAAGTAACAACTATTGCACCACAGTAAGGTCCACGTTTTGGACTATTAATGAAACCTAACTTTTTCCGGGGCTAGTTTAGTACACATGTGTTCTAAATCAAGCCTAAGATTGCCTATGTTATGCCTAGGATTGATTAGACATAGGTTATGTTTATGGCCAATCTGCTCCACTTTGTTCTACCCTTCAGAACTCCAATAATAAACTTGAGCTGGACACGTATTACTACTATAAACACAAATGAGATTTGTTAGGATTGAAGATTATTTGTAGGATAAAGTACTACCTAGGTTAGGTTCATAATATGAGGAGTTGATGCTAGATTGTTTTATAAGTACTGAAAATAAGGAATACATGGCATCTATACCGGTGACATCATGGTCTGTTTTATAAATAAAACGCCATGCTGTCTAGACCTGCATCTCCCTCCCTGCCTAAATTGAACATTGTTAGTATATCAATTGATAACTGAATATCCATTTACACAATAGCTACTCTCAATGACACCTAATCTGTACCATTTATTTATTTATTTATTTATATACAAGAAGGTACATTGGGTTTGTGAGAAGACATAGCATAGCACAGTAATTGCACTCTTATAAAGCCACTAGTACGCGCAGCGTTTCGGGCAGGTCCTTAATCTAACAGATAATTTTAAGTAGGTAAATTCTATCAGAATTAATAAAATGATAACAAATCATTTATACCATATACACAAAGCACCACAGAAGACCTGCATACTCTACGATAAAACTATATTTAAGTTCCTTTATTTCATATCTTATTGTATGTAACGTCTGCATATAAACATTTACTCAAATCTTAAGTTTTATTCTCTACAGAGCAAGAATTTTGAGATAATATATGACAAATTTTATATACAAAAATAGTAATGCCAGGTATTATAGCTTCAACTTAGAGCCGTTCCTATAGTCTGAATACATTTCTGCTCGTAGGAATTTCTTGTGATAATTAGAGATATATACAAGTTGTTAATATGTGAGTGGTGCGCGAGGCTTATGATTCATTGGACTGTGATTACACGAGTCTGATACACTCAGCTGCGGACTTACTGTGAACTGTGATTACAAGTCTGATACACATCAGTGGACTTTGTAGATGGTAATTCCACTGTTCCGAGGACTTACTGTACTCACCTAGTTGTACTTGCTGGGATGGAGCTCCGGCTCTTTGGTCCCGCCTCTCAACTGTCACATTTGCTTGGCTGTGGTCACAACTGCCACACACACGCACGCGCGCACACACACACGCACAGGGAGTCTGATAACTGAGTGAACAGCACGCAGGACTTGCAATTCTGTGGCCCGGGTTCGATTCCCGGAACAGGCAGAAACAAATAGGCAAAGTATCTTTCACCCTGAATGACCCTGTTACCTAGCAGTAAATAGGTACCAGGGAGTTAGACAGCTGTTACGGAGCTGCTTCCTGGGTGTGTGTGTGGGGGGGGGGGGAAATTAGTAGTTGGTAACAGTCGATTGACAGTTGAGAGGCGGGCCGAAAGAGAAGAGCTCAACCCCCGCAAACACAACTAGGTGAATACACAAACAAACACACACACATGCAGGCGTTGAGTCACAATAACGTGGCTAAAGTAAGTTGACCAGACAACACACTAGAAGGTGAAGGAACGACGACGTTTCGGTCCTTCCTGGACCATTCTCAAGTCGATTGTCTTGATTGTCACAATCGACTTGAGAATGGTCCAGGACGGACCGAAACGTCGTCGTCCCTTCTAGTGTGTAGTCTGGTCAACACACACACATACACCTTTGGACTTTCCATATATAGCAATTCCACGAGTGTGAGTACTTACTGTGGACTGTCAGAATGTGGGTCTGAACTACATCCTTGTTACGATCGGCGTGGCAGGTGTAGTTACCAGCGTGGACCAGCTGGAGACGGGTCAGGTACAGCGAACCATCCATGAAGACCCGGATGTCCTGCCCACAGAAACCAACACCCGGTTATTCACAACATTCCACAAGGCTTAATATGTGTGTCAGGAGAAAAATCACATTATTTAACAATTTCACTGGAAATAAATCAAAATTAGGAGATGTATAGACAGAGTTATTTCAATGTACCAGATTTAGTTATGTCAAGTTTCTTAAACTCGATGTTTTATGGATTTATGAATGTTTTATAATGTTTGTTCTACTGTAATGTTATTTGGTAGGTTCTCTTGTATACATGTTATAGTGTGTTATGTTCCCCGTATACATGCTATAGTGTGTCCCTGTATACATGTTATAGTGTCCCCGTATACATGCTATAGTGTCCCTGTATACATGCTATAATATCCCCGTATACATGTTATAGTGTCCCTGTATACATGTTACACAGTGTCCACCTGTGCCACGTCCTCGACGAACGACGCGCCCCAAACCTTTCCTCACCTCGGAGTTAAGAGCCGCCAGATCGAGGCTGTTCCTCCTCCAGACGATGGGGGGTGTGGGGGTGCCCGTGACGTCGCACTTGATCTCCAGGTTGTCTCCGACGCGCGCGGAGACATGGTTCACCTCGAGGGCCTTGTCCAGCGACACCACGGACACGCCTGCGACGGGAGGGAAGACATGGCTGGCCGGCGGAGCTCGGCTGGGGAATACCAGGCAATCCAGCCGGATGGATTGCCTTTTTAATTAAGGCACGGGTGGGTAGAGGGACGGGGGAGGGGGGGGGGAAGAGAGAGATGGGAGGGAAAGGGAGAGATGAGGAGTATAAGGGGAGAGATGAGAGAGACCAGAGGGATTGGTGAGACAGATGAGAAGTCGGGGAGAGGTGTGAGAAGGAGGGAGAGTGAGATGAGAAGGGGGGAAAACAGAGAGATGAGAAAGAGAGAGAGAAAGAGAGAGAGACAGAATGAAAGTATAAAAAAAAGAAAGAATGAGAGAAATTGAATAATTAAACAATTAGACAAATTAAAAACGGAATAAATCAGTGACAAAAATCTAAAAGCCCCAAGGTAACCCCAGAACAAATATATCAAGACCAATGTAACAGTAACTCGGTCTATCGAGTAGTAGACCGCATTTTGACGCATCAATCCCCCTAGGGGCCCAAAATAACTGATGTATTAAAATATCATAGCGGTTCGCAAAATTGACGTGATGTTCCGTTTTCTATTCGTAGTTCCTCAGTTAGGTTAGGTTCGGGTAATTTACTGTAGGAGTTCTGTGAGGTAAATACTCTGCTTGAGGATGGACTGGTATCACAGTGACCTAAAGCAACGGGATGCTATTTAAATGCCAGGACGGCATTTAAAGAACACGACAACCCAAAATTCGCGAATTCTCACTCACTTGAGCTGGAGGGTAGAGCGACGGTCTCGCTTCATGCAGGTCGGTGTTCAATCCCCCGACCGTCCAACCTTCTTGCACTCGCTTCAAATCTGTTTTATCATGGCATTGTGAGAGTAGTGCTTGGTTGGGCGTGATCACTGGCCATCGCATTTTAATGTTCCTTGTTACACGGAATACATTTCTTTGAAGTGCAGACCACTTCACTTTTACACAATATCTTACTTTTACATTTTACTTTTCTTTTACTTTTTTGAAGTTTTACACAATATCTTACTAGTAATAATGACCATTTCTTTAAATTAACACTTTATTACTTGTAAGATTTATGTATACATATGTGTTTTCAGGTGAATAGTTTAATAACGCACAGAAATCACATTATCGTGATATATGAATGAGAAAATCCATAGGAGCCGTGATGTGGATTCGAACGTGCGTCTGGGAATACCCAGCGCATAGGTTCGAATCCTCATCACGGCTCCTGTGCGTTTTCTTTTGTAATAATAGTTTTTTCTCCTTTCGTTCCATACGAGCTGACGTAGGCTCTCTTGGATCATTTCCCTCCCTCGCTCTGGCCTAAGTTTATTATGTCGTAAAACCTAAATTCTGTCAGTCAGTAAACGCTAGTGACTTGCACCTCGTCTCCAGCTTTAAATTCGCTGCGATGCTGGGTCGAATATTTAGAAAAAAGTCAGCTGTATTTTTCACGGTCGACTATTATACCCAAAAGAATACAAAATTGCCGTGTTTTCCATAAGAAAATTTTCTGGATGATGTGAATAAATGTCTTCACCGAGAAAACAAAATAGAGCTTCCTGGAATGCCCGCCCGTTGGGCACCAATCATCACGCAGACAACGTACCCAAAGCGCTATATATCTATGTTGTAGCGACGGCATAGAGTTTCTGCAAGTTTATGGTTAAACGTGTTATGTTGGTTGAGTATATAGGGAACCTAAGTAGTGTGGAGGCAGGGCGAGTGGCAACCATAAATATTATCAATAATATTTGTTTTGCCTTTCTTATTGGTTTCGAATAATTGCGGATACAAGACTGGAGGCCTTAGGCTCTTAGATTTTAAATTATGGAAATCTAAGTCACCTTCGTGGTTGGCCTTTCCCCGACGTTGCAGCTGATGACAGTCAAGTTGGACGTCGTCAGAAGTGGGGGTTTTCGGCGTCGATATTGTCTGGGAGTTCGCGGTCTGAAATCCAGGTGCAGGCTCCTTTGACAAACCCGTTTCTCTCCGCTAGGAAGCGTTGTGAAAACGTGAGTTCGAGATGGGCGTCAGTCATGGCTCGTCCGGCTAGCCAAAACATGTCCCTCGAGGTCTTCCTCGTGGGAGTAGAATAGTATACACTCTTCTCCTTCTCTTTGACGTCGATGGGTGTCACGTTAGCGATGGATTTGATGGTTTTCAAGAGGTCGGTCAAGGTGAGAGTATGGTTCTCCAGGAAGGTACACTTTGTGGCGCATTGTTCCTCTGGAATGCTACCCCCTCTACGGGTCGCAGTAGTGTTGGGTGACTTGTGAAGTGGCAGAGTGGACACGTCCGCTCCCGCTGGCGGCTGAGATGAGAGTCTGCCACGTGACTTGCCTGCAACTGTCTCTCCTCAAACTATACAAAAGAAACTATCAATATACAAAAGAAAGATTTACCGTAGCTCACGATGTAAATGAGAGCAAAAAAAAAGACACAAGTGACGTCAAAGGTATCGTACTCATCAACGGCCACGTGACCCAGGGGGACACGTGGCTCAGGACACATTGCCCAGAAGGACACATGACCCAGAGGGACACTGGGAAAACAAGAATTACGATCATTCTCAAAATCATTGTATTCAAGGTGGTGGTGGTGGTGAACGACATTAGGCAAGGCAACGCACATCGGACAATATGGTACAGGTATTGTCCACGACTTAAGCTAGTGTGGCCAATACCTTGTCTCGCCAGAACAATTAGCCACGGCCTAATATTGTGGCAAGACGGTGGCCATGGGGGATAAGTCACCTTAAGAGTACGCAATTTGTTATTCATAATTCCTAACCATTTGTCCTCCCAACGTTCTGGAAGACAGGACAAGCACGAATGGCGTCTTTAGCAGTGGCGTCCCCAAGGTCATTAAAACAACACCAATATGTCTGGGGACCTAACAAAATTCGATTGTCTTATATCTACTAAAGATAAAAAAAAGTGTTGGATTTTGTTTAACATGGGATGGCGAAGGTTGAAGATTCCTGGACAGCCATGGGGAGTCTTCAACCTTTGCCTGCCCAGGCGTCCCGTGCTTGTGCTCATAGAGGGCTGAGGGCTGTAGCGACGGAGGTCGAGCGTGATCCAGTTCAGGACTGGTTATGTTGTACCAAGCACCACTACCCACTTTTTCAACAAAGAACACTACTGAACAGTGAATGTGCCCATGCCAGCGAAAAATAAACTCTCCCCCCCCTCCCCCTCTTGCACAACATTCTAGATACCCACAATTATCCACACAGGATAACCCCTCCAGGAGGTGGACCGCTGACCCATACAGGGTTTTCAATTCCGCTGTCTTTATCAGCACAAGGTCTTCCTTACACAGCCTGGGCACTCACATAACGAGGGGGGGGGGGAGGTTCAATTTATTGAAGCACTGATTTGCTATATTCTTCGGCGAAGTTCATTTAATAAACCCCCTTTGAATAATCTATTCTTTGGTGGTTCAAAGCACTCCATATTGTGCCCTTCGAGTTATGTAATATCTTGAAATTTACGGAGTATGCACTGGAATGATCATGACTAAGTTCTTACATTTGTCTGTCTTTGTATTGTGAATGTTGACTTTAAAGAGCTTGGATATCGCAGACGTTACACAGTTCTTTCAGGTCGACAAAAATGTTTGTCTTTGATGTTACGTGTTCTTGAAATGAGACTGAGGTATGTTTTTAGTGTGGAAGAATCTGGCCTTCTTTGATGCTATGCCCAGCTTAGCGTATTCCGAAATTCGCTCATACTACTTTCAGGAAAGATTATCTGTATTGCCCTCATATCCACCACGGAGAGATGACTCCTCATTTTCCCCCAAGAGATTGTGTTATTTACATCACTGCACTGCGTGTCGTCTTGTAATTCATCTCCTGCGTTTGCCAGGGAAGCTGCATCCCTTTTGCCATCCTTGTCTTCACTCGGCGGAGATTATGTCTTGATCACATAAGATGGTGAGGGATCAAAGAAGATAGGTGGGACCACAGGGAACAGTGGAACCACAGAAGATGGCAGCATCACAGAAGGCCTCAGAGTTCAACCCGTTCACACGCTTCGACAAATGGAAAATTTAAAGTGATGTGCGTCATAACCAGAAACGCAATAACTAAAACTGCTAACCTATCGAGACCGTTCGTTCCCCCAAGAGTCCAAACTTGCGTACAAATTGGAGCAGTTTGAACTTTTCCGGAAGCACCATAATTATGACGCTATTGTGAAAAGTCCCATTCTTCGTCCGAGTCCTTCTCCTCAATCTTCGTGGCTGTTGACCATTGTAATGCAGTGACGCAAGGATGAGGTCACCCGTCCAGCTACTGCCAGTCTAACCAAGGCAACCATAGCAACTGCATAGAGGCAAGCTGGACAGCCGTTGCCAACTGTGCTCCATGGCGCAGGGCGACGCAGATCGTGGTGGAGGCTGTAATTATATACAATAAACGTGTTGACTTCTGACCTTTCAATAGACGACACACACATTATGGAACTTGCTTGGAGACTAATGCAATTAATCATGGAAGCAATAATCCACTGTGATAATTAGATGCTGACTGGAAGGAGCTCTTGGCAACCTCTTCAAGTTCGGGCGAGGTCCACACACACGTCTCTGGACACTTCCTCAGCTCCACACACGTCTCTGGACACTTCCTCAGGTCCACACACGTCTCTGGACACTTCCTCAGGTCCACACACATCACTGGACACTTCCTCAGCTCCACACACGGCACTGGACACTTCCTGAGCTCCACACACGTCACTGGACACTTCCTCAGCTCCACACACGACACTGGACACTTTCTCAGGTCCACACACATCACTGGACACTTCCTGAGCTCCACACACGTCAGTGGACACTTCCTCAGCTCCACACACGTCACTGGACACTTCCTCAGGTCAGCACACATCACTTATGGACACTTCCTAAGGGCTGGACAAAACAGGTCACTAGCTCACGAAGTCAACACGACACAGACACGCTGCTGGAAACACCACTAGAAGCGGTGGTGGATGACTCTGGAAGAGAGGCGGGAATATATATACGTAGAATGATTAAGATCAATGCACCTGTGAGTTACCTGCTCGTTGGTTCTATTCGTCTTCGTGTGTAATGATGCTTTTGAACCAATAGATACAATAATGCACTGCTTATACATGCATTGTTATGATAGACCCGTAACACACTGTGTTTTATTCTGACAGATTATCGTGGCTATATATATATGTCCATATTCAAGAATGTGTTTTTCTGTTCTTCAAGAATACTTTGCTGTGTATTCTTGTAATGCCAAAACATTGCTTCAGTTTAGAATTCTAAGAAAAAAAGAATCCTCAGGAACACTGGGTGGATCTTTTTGCAAGCCGCCTGCTTCCTGTCCCCTCATCTAGGCCACTAAAGCGTGTGGCCATCAGGTAAATAAAGGTAAATTATTCTTACTCTCCCCCTGTTATATATATCAATCAGAAGTGCTGAGCTATGAGCATGATTCACTTCTACAGCCCAAGATTGATTACACAGAAGGTTCTTGACTTAAATATCGAGTGCAATAACCTACGAACAATCTACAAAAGTTAAGACAGATGCATATGTCATTGTTGCAATGAAAGAATGTCGTCTTAGTTTCTAACGACATAAGCTCTTCTAAGTTGCTATCCATCTTAAAAAAAAATACTATCCAAGTTACTGTCCATTGTTAAGTAACAACTAAGTTACTTGCTGCCCACAGCCCCCCCCCCCCTCGAGTACTCTCTTGTACTCTGGCTCTTTATCGGAAACGTGAACACCTCGTCACGACGCAACAACCAATTAAACCCCCCCCCCCCACCTAATCATTTCGTCAATGCCAATTCCTTCACAAGTGTATTAACATTAAAAGATCCATCACTGATCTTAATAACGGTACACCCACAAATTTAATACACCATAATTACGAGCAGCTTCAGAGTTTACGAGCAGCTTCAGAGTTTACCAGCAGCTTCAGAGTTTACGAGCAGCTTCAGAGTTTACGAGCAGCTTCAGAGTTTACGAGCAGCTTCAGAGTTACGAGGTCAGCCCCGCTTCCCAACGCACCATTTTCTGAAATTAACTGACCCACCAAATTTGCCGAATATTGAAAGTAGTAGCGATGCGAGGGCTCATAAATCATACACACAAAAAAATACATTACATATAGAGTTGTAACTTTATATTATATATATATATATATATATATATATATATATATATATATATATATATATATATATATATATATATATATATATATATATATATATATATATATAACCGTTAGTAGAGGTGTTGAGACCGAGGCTGGGACGAGCTTGGATCGTCTCCCTCAGCCACTCCTTCAAGAGTACGACCCTCAAAGGTGACAGTCTTCGAAGTCAATCGGTACGAGAGATAGTGACACGGGCAAAGATTCACAGAGCAGTTACGTGATCCACTTTCCAATCCAGCTATGAGATCTGTGTCTCGAACCTGGCCAGCTTGAGGAGTTTGCGAAGATGTCGTCCTCAATCTAAGGGCTTCAGAGCTCATAAACTCTGGATTTATTAAATACAAAGCCGCCATGATTGAGGTAAAAGGTACAGATATCGTAAGTTTAGACCTAAGTGCTCTGTGGATCCTGACGTAAGGTTCTCTTATCAGCTTCGCCTCGTGGAGTAAGAGTTGTCGGGGCAGCTCAGTATGACCTCAGCTCTGTCTGGCTGCCTATTGTACCCACAAGGTATTGTACCAACATTATACCCACAAAGTATTGTACCAACATTGTACCCACAAAATGTTTAGTAATGGGAAAATGTCACCTTTGACAGTCGCTACGCTCTACATTCTTGGAAATTTGATTTCATTACTTCAAAAACTTATCCAATATCAATTTTGAAAAAAATATACTGCCCGAAACGCTTTGCGTAATAGTGGCTTTAGGCATTGTATGTACTAGCTCTATCTATAAATCTATCAATTTTTGTAAAACCTCTTGTATGTATGTACTTTACCTGAATAAACATTTATTTATTTATTTATTTATTTATTTAGAGTGAATAAGTAACAAAAGTCTTCACAAATTTCCAAGACTGCATCTGTGCATATGCTTCACAAAGCACTAACGTGTTCACTTGCGCAATCTGTGCCTCGTCGCGGTCCATCACGATTGATAAAAGATTAAGCCACCCAAGAGGTGGCACGGGCATGAATAGCCCGTAAAGGTCCATCACGGCAGCCTCGTTGGTACATACTAAATACCAAGAGCTCCTGAGCGCTTCAAGGTCAACCACAACAACTCTAACCTTGAGGATGAGCTCGAATTAAGCGCTTCGGGGGATTGTTAACGACATGGAAAATACCCACGATAGAGACACAGATCTCTTAAGTGGCCACAAGTGCTCCGTGGATCGCTACAAGAGTAATTGTTGACAACGAGCGGTATGAGCGACTCATGCTAGGGTATAGGCGGGGGAAGCAGGGGGGAGGCTGGGGAGGGGGGAGGGGGGAAAGGCATGCTAGGTACAGGCTTAACAAAACACATGCATGAGGCTACATAGGTCTACCGACTACTGCAAATTTCAAAATATTATCCCTTAATTGCTCACTGATCTACTCCCATTCCTAACCTAACCTAACCTAACCTAACCTAACCTTCCTGCAGTGAATTCTTCCCTGAAATGGATTTTTCGGAATGTGAATCACTAGACAATTTAGCTAAGAATAACTTTTTTCCCAATGGAAGTGAAATATATAAAATACTAAAATATTCCACCAAGAGAAAGGATCGGATGCTCCGCCTCAGGATCTATCAACAAGAGCCATTGTGGACCACATGAAGCGTCTTTGTCTGGTACTCAAGTGTGCAGGGGAGTGTAAGATTACACCTGAAGAGTCACGAGGAGACTATAATCCCAGCCAATGTTGCTCTTCGAAGCTGTTGTAGCTGCATCGAAGTTGGGCCGTCCAGGGGGACAGACTTCGAGGCATGGCGGCCATTGGTTTAGGCTACTGCTAGTCACGTGGTTATAACTATTATATATGATTCCATTCACCTAGACTATTATAATACATGACTTTAATATATGATTTTATATAAGTTCGCCTGGACTTTTAATATACATGATTTTATCAAGCATTGTGAAACTTATCCTGAATCTCCTGATATTCCACGAAGAATTTCAGAGACATGAGGGGCATCCATTTCGCTTAACTTGGCTCATTCACTAACCACTCGTCAGCACCATACTAACCGTAGTTAGGGGCTCTAACTAACCATCATCGTTAGCGTCTACTAACCATTGCGAGCGGCAGTAGGTGAGCTGACATCATGCTTGCTGCTCAGTATAAGGTGAGAGGGAGAGGGTGGTAACGGGAAGCGGGAGGCGCGATAACTTACTGTACAACTTACTGAAGGCGGTATAGAACTCGTTAAGATTGAGGTGACCGTCGGTGTTGGAGTCGTCGTAGCGAAGCATGTCGACCAGCGAGCAGTCCTCCGCCAGGCGGTTCACCTCCTCCACTTGCGACACCTGAAACGACACCCTGGGGTTAATACTCTCTCCTACAACCACACCCTGGGATTAATACTCTCTCCTACAACCACACCCTGGGGTTAATACTCTCTCCTACAACCACACCCTGGGGTTAATACTCTCTCCTACAACCACACCCTGGGGTTAATACTCTCTCCTACAACCACACCCTGGGGTTAATACTCTCTCCTACAACCACACCCTGGGGTTAATACTCTCTCCTACAACCACACCCTGGGGTTAATACTCTCTCCTACAACCACACCCTGGGGTTAATACTCTCTCCTCCTCTCCTACAACCACACCCTGGGGTTAATACTCTCTCCTACAACAACGACACCCTGGGGTTAATACTCTCTCCTACAACGACACCCTGGGGTTAATACTCTCTCCTACAACGACACCCTGGGGTTAATACTCCTCCTACAACCACACCCTGGGGTTAATACCCTCCCTCCTACAACCACACCTGGGGTTAATACTCTCTCCTACAACCACACCCTGGGGTTAATACCCTCCTTCCTACAACCACACCTTGGGGTTAATACCCTCCCTCCTACAACCACACCCTGGGGTTAATACTCTCCCTCCTACAACCACACCCTGGGGTTAATACTCTCTCTCCTACAACCACACCCTGGGGTTAATACTCTCTCCTACAACCACACCCTGGGGTTAATACTCTCCCTCCTACAACCACACCCTGGGGTTAATACCCTCTCTCCTACAACCACACCCTGGGGTTAATACTCTCTCCTACAACGACACCCTGGGGTTAATACTCTCTCTCCTACAACGACACCCTGGGGTTAATACTCCCTCCTACAACCACACCCTGGGGTTAATACTCTCCCTCCTACAACACATGTAAGACGTATATAACTACTACCTACCACCATTCCCTGCAACCCTCTGCAACCACACACAAGGTTACTACCACCCATGACGTTTTGCAACAACCATACCAGGTTGCTTTCCTCTTTTAAGCAATAAGATTTGCTTAAAAGGATTTTAAGATTTCTCGTCTTCATTTTTACCGACAAAATACGCGCCAGGCTCATGTCTTCTAGTACAACCCGTTCTCGCAAATTTAATAAGTCAATATTGACTTATTAAATATGTGCATAGGTGACATACTTAACATAATAGATACCCTTAAATCTAGTATGACCACACCATGCCCATACCACACACTGGGCATAATGCAGCTTTGCGCTCTATTTAAACCTCGTCTTCAAGCAAGATGCAGGGTGAGCCCAGGTCTTCTGGCGGGGGATTCAGGGGGGGGGGGGGGTGCAGGTATTTCGCGTCAAGTGCCTTCTGTGAGGGTCTCAGCAATTAGCCCAATTGCAGAGAGAGCTTCACCGCTCCTCCTCCAAACACAGAGAGCTTCACCGCTCCTCCTCCAAACACAGAGAGATTCACCGCTCCTCCTCCAAACACAGAGAGCTTCACCGCTCCTCCTCCAAACACAGAGAGCTTCACCGCTCCTCCTCCAAACACAGAGAGCTTCACCGCTCCTCCTCCAAACACAGAGAGCTTCACCGCTCCTCCTCCAAACAGTTCCTAAGAAAGCTAATGCAAGACTCCAGAGTTTTAGGCCAAGCGCCCGTAAAAAATTGATCTCTCGAGTGCTTCATTAATCAAGGCCAATGGACTGAATGGAATGAGATGATTAAGTGGATGATGCAGATGATCTGACCCTCCCACTCAAGCTGAAGAATGATACTATGCCACAAGCTAAAGAATGATACTATGCCACAAGCTAAAGAATGATACTATGCCACAAGCTAAAGAATGATACTATGCCACAAGCTAAAGAATGATACTATGCCACAAGCTAAAGAATGATACTATGCCACAAGCTAAAGAATGATACTATGCCACAAGCTAAAGAATGATGACACTAAGTCCCCAAACTGTGGAATAATGATACAATGTCTCGTAAAGGATCGGAATCCTTAAGTGAATGATGGTTATCGTAATTTGATAACGTTGATAACGTACTGTGTATCAACTAATTTTTTTTAAGCTATCTTGAGGTTATCTTGAGATGATTTCGGGGCTTTTTAGTGTCCCCCGCGGCCCGGTCCTCGACCAGGCCTCCACCCTCCAGGAAGCAGCCCGTGACAGCTGACTAACACCCAGGTACCTACTTTACTGCTAGGTAACAGGGGGCATAGGGTGAAGGAAACTCTGCCCCATTGTTTCTCTCTGGCGCCCAGGATCGAACCCGGGACCACAGGATCACAAGTCCAGTGTGCTGTCTGCTCGGCCGACCGGCTCCCGGTTAATCAAATCATCAAATTCAAATATTTCAAAACAGTTTAATCACGAAAATAATACCAGAAGGTCTGTCGCCCTTGATTCATAAACAGTAAAAAAGTGACAAAAAAGCCTAAACTTGAGAATTCTAAAAAAATAAAAATATATACATTTGATGCATTGGAAAGAAAGCGAATTGCGCTTCCGGTGTTCCATTTTTGGGGGGTAGAAATAGCCTAAGCTACTCTATCCCTTTGAGATGTATTTTTTCTTGTCTCAATAAACATACTTGAACTTGAACTTGAACTTGTCCCATTAGTAAGGAGAGTTCTGCGCAACAGAGAAGAAGAATCTTTTTGGAACAGCAAGATGCGGGAGGAGGAGGGGGGGGGGGGGGAAGGGGGAGGGTAGTCAGTGCCACAGTGCGAGAGTCAAGCACAGCGCCAAGGGCCAAGCACAGTGCCAGGGGCCAAGCACAGTGCCAGGGGCCAAGCACAGTGCCAGGGGGGCCAAGCACAGTGCCAGGGGCCAAGCACAGTGCCAGGGGCCAAGCACAGTGCCAGGGGGCCAAGCACAGCGCCAGGGGGCCAAGCACAGCGCCAGGGGGCCAAGCACAGTGCCAGGGGCCAAGCACAGTGCCAGGGGCCAAGCACAGTGCCAGGGGGCCAAGCACAGCGCCAGGGGGCCAAGCACAGCGCCAGGGGGCCAAGCACAGCGCCAGGGGCCAAGCACAGTGCCAGGGAGCCAAGCACAGCGCCAGAGCCAAGCACAGTGCCAGGGAGCCAAGCACAGCGCCAAGCACAGCGCCAGGGCCCAAGCACAGCGCCAGAGCCAAGCACAGTGCCAGGGAGCCAAGCACAGCGATGGTTTAGCTGTGGTCTGTTGTGAGAAAGGAATTAGCATGACAAACATGACCTTGGCAGCTCGTCCCGGGAACACTCCTCTGGGATTGTTGTGCTTCCTGTTTCATACTTCTTGTCCTCCTCTTCACTTCCCTGCTTTTCCTCCTGATCCTGCCTCTCGATCCTCTTGCTTCTCCTACTGTGTCTCCCCCTCCTCCTCCCTTTATTGCTTTTTCCCTCCCCCACTTCGCTCTCCTGCTTCTGCTGTTTCTTCCCCTTCCTCCTCCTCTACCTTTTCACCATCCTCTATCTCACATCTTGTTGCTTATCCGGGAGTCTGAATCAGCTGTTCCCTCTTCCATAGGGGCGTATTGCAAACAGCTGAGAGCATCACTGCCTGACACTATATACTCTGACGTCAGCTACAGCTGTAGCGCCTTAAGAGGCTACAGCCATACACCTGTCAACAATACAATCCTGAGACACTGACGAGGGAGAAGAGAAACGAAAGATAAATAAGGAAGAAGAGAAATAAGAGAGACGTTGCTTACCTGCACGAGTTCATCTTTGTCGAGGGCGCCATTGTTGTTGGTGTCGAACTTAGAGAACATGAGTCCCACCAGGTACTCCCGCTCGGAGCCCCGACCCTTCTCCGCCATGAGCCGCGCGTGGTGGTACAGCAGCAGGTTGTCCTGTGGGGCAGACAGCAGACACCTGTCACTCGAGATAGTGTGGGAGAGGCAACAGACATCTGTCACTCACTCACTCATATCAGTGTGTGTGTGTGGGGGGGGGGGGAAGGAGCAGACATCTGTCACTCGAGATAGTGTGGGAGAGGCAGCAGACATCTGTCACTCACTCACTCATATCAGTGTGTGTGGGGGGGGGTGGGGAAGGAGCAGACATCTGTCACTCGAGATAGTGTGGGAGAGGCAGCAGACATCTGTCACTCACTCACTCATATCAGTGTGTGTGGGGGGGGGGGAAGGAGCAGACACCTGTCACTCAAGCTAGTGTGGGGCAGACAGCAGACATCTGTCACTCAAGATAGTGTGGGAGTAGGGGAAAGAGATACGTTACTCAAGAAACAATATGAGAAAAGGTGAACGTATATGTCCCTTTATTTGCGTGTTCTCACACCAAAGACAACAAATGTAACCATATATATATATATATATATATATATATATATATATATATATATATATATATATATATATATATATATATATATATATAAGGAGAGCAAGATGCGGGAGGATGATGTGAAGAGGGTTAAGGCGTACCTGTTATGCCAGTTGCTGGAAGGCTTCTGTGCTGGCTAGGGTTCGAGTCTCCTGGTGGGAAAGTGTTCTAAAGTTGTATATATATATATATATATATATATATATATATATATATATATATATATATATATATATATATATATATATATATATAGACTGTGTAAAGCTAGGTCCAGGGTTTGTTAGGTTAGGTGTTCTTCTTTTGTTAGAAATTAATTGTTTATGTATTTAGAGAGATGCACTTTGAACCTGAAAGATTATCAGTTGGTATATGTTGTGTTTCTCATCCATAAAAATATATAAGTAGATGGTACATTTCTAAATGTACCATCTAATATAAGTAGATGGTACATTTCTAAATGTACCATCTAATATAAGTAGATGGTACATTTCTAAATGTACCATCTAATATAAGTAGATGGTACATTTGCATAGCAATTTAGTTGCTTGAAGTTGATGTTCATACATATAGATTTTGATCGTGCAAACTGGCCGTAAATTGTTGATGTATTAAGAGTATTTACATTGATATGTTGTGATTGTTTTCTTTAGTACGTTCCATTTATTGAAAAAAAGTGATGTTGTAGCGATTTTGTTGAGGGAACAAAATATGCTTTTATGTAAATACAACATGTAGTTGGTTGAAGGACTTGCGTCCTACCCGCCCGCTAATAAGGTACAGTATTACAGGAAACTTTCAATAAAGTTGTCGTCACTTTCCCTGTTGGAGATCTTCATTTGAAGACTAATGTCCCCCCACCACAGGTCTACTGGACTCGATGCTCTCTTGTTATCCTATGTCCCTCCCGTGCCTTTGTACATTGTCGATATATCATAGAACACTCGAAAATACCACAACAAACAAAACATATCAGTTAGCAAAGCTTCTGATATTGCAAACTTAAAAGCGGAGCTTGCAGCAAAAGCTTCAAGATATATCGATGAAATAAAGTCTAATCCAGAAGAATAATCTTTAAGACGCTACAGCATCCACGTCGCCGCTCCACAGCGGAAACACCGACCCTCTTATCATCGCCAATTCCATCCCTTGACGCCACGAACTGAACAGCGCCGTAGAGGGGGAGGTCGCGAGGGTTGATCTTTCCACTTTTGAGCGACCCTGGCGGAGAATAATTAAATTAAGAGGCGAAGGGTAAGCACCTTGGCCCTTCCCCCTCACCCTTCAGAGGACGTTACTTAAGGAGTCTTTGTTCTCCTGTGTACGCACCGGACAGGAAGGGCCCCCTTGGCTCCTCCAGGCTGCTGTGGCGATATAAAGTGTGGATCATATTGTTTTAGGGAGCGGGTAGGAAGGAGAAGTTACCTGGAGAGGGTTCTGGGAATTCTTCTATTCCACAAGCCCGACCTGGGGCCAGGCTTGACTTGTGACAATTTGGTCCAACAGACTGTTGCTTAGAGTGGCCCAGAGAGAGAGAGAGAGAGGGGGGGGGGCTCGTGGGATAATTGGAACACACCCCCAAAGTTCGAACTCATCTATGAACCACCCTGCTGAACGATGCTTCTTTCTCCCGCCACGTACGTGGCGCCACTGTAAAGTTGACAACTAAAGATTTTGTTTTCTTTTACCTGATTTACCTGAAGAGGGCCACTAACACTCGCCCAGGACTATATAAATTAGACAGTTTCATAATTGGTAAGGTATTTGACTCGTTCGCGCTTGTAAACCATATAGTCACCGCTGCACAAATCAGCTCTGAACGCTAGCACTATGGAAGAACTCAAAGTGGCCATCCATTAAAGCCCTCAGATCCTACTCTCGTGTCATTCAAATCCTCTACAGCTGCTCTCAATAATCAAGTCTCTAGATATTACTTTGCGTGTAAAACTTCGGCCTCCACAAAGATTTGGTCACAGCACATTACACCTTCCCTTACCCTATCGGGCTCTACCCTTATCTTTAGGGGGTATAAACCAATATCTCACTCCCCTATTACTTTTAAAAACCACTATGCTCTTTTAATTCAATTATTCTCCTGCTTTTGGTACCTTGCTCCCCATCTGTCTGGTACAATTTAATAGCCCGCATAATATTTCCTAACTTAATTGTATACATTTCCAAGTTTCTGTTTGTTTCGAAACCTATGTTCACGTGTTGTTGAAGAGACGGACAGGTGTTGTTGAAGGGACGGACAGGTGTTGTTGAAGGGACGGACAGGTGTTGTTGAAGGGACGGACAGGTGTTGTTGAAGGGACGGACAGGTGTTGTTGAAGGGACGGACAGGTGTTGTTGAAGGGACGGGCAGGTGTTGTTGAAGGGACGGACAGGTGTTGTTGAAGGGACGGACAGGTGTTGTTGAAGGGACGGACAGGTGTTGTTGAAGGGACGGACAGGTGTTGTTGAAGGGACGGACAGGTGTTGTTGAAGGGACGGACAGGTGTTGTTGAAGGGACGGACAGGTGTTGTTGAAGGGACGGGCAGGTGTTGTTGAAGGGACGGACAGGTGTTGTTGAAGAGACGGGCAGGTGTTGCTGAAGGGACGGGCAGGTGTTGTTGAAGGGACGGACAGGTGTTGTTGAAGGGACGGACAGGTGTTGTTGAAGGGACGGACAGGTGTTGTTGAAGGGACGGGCAGGTGTTGTTGAAGGGACGGACAGGTGTTGTTGAAGGGACGGACAGGTGTTGTTGAAGAGACGGGCAGGTGTTGCTGAAGGGACGGGCAGGTGTTGTTGAAGGGACGGACAGGTGTTGTTGAAGGGACGGACAGGTGTTGTTGAAGGGACGGACAGGTGTTGTTGAAGGGACGGACAGGTGTTGTTGAAGGGACGGGCAGGTGTTGTTGAAGGGACGGACAGGTGTTGTTGAAGGGACGGACAGGTGTTGTTGAAGAGACGGGCAGGTGTTGCTGAAGGGACGGGCAGGTGTTGTTGAAGGGACGGACAGGTGTTGTTGAAGGGACGGACAGGTGTTGTTGAAGGGACGGACAGGTGTTGTTGAAGGGACGGACAGGTGTTGTTGAAGGGACGGGCAGGTGTTGTTGAAGGGACGGACAGGTGTTGTTGAAGGGACGGACAGGTGTTGTTGAAGAGACGGGCAGGTGTTGCTGAAGGGACGGGCAGGTGTTGTTGAAGGGACGGACAGGTGTTGTTGAAGGGACGGACAGGTGTTGTTGAAGGGACGGACAGGTGTTGTTGAAGGGACGGACAGGTGTTGTTGAAGGGACGGACAGGTGTTGTTGAAGAGACGGACAGGTGTTGTTGAAGGGACGGACAGGTGTTGTTGAAGAGACGGGCAGGTGTTGTTGAAGGGACGGACAGGTGTTGTTGAAGGGACGGACAGGTGTTGTTGAAGAGACGGGCAGGTGTTGTTGAAGGGACGGACAGGTGTTGTTGAAGGGACGGACAGGTGTTGTTGAAGGGACGGACAGGTGTTGTTGAAGAGACGGGCAGGTGTTGTTGAAGGGACGGACAGGTGTTGTTGAAGGGACGGACAGGTGTTGTTGAAGGGACGGACAGGTGTTGTTGAAGAGACGGGCAGGTGTTGTTGAAGGGACGGACAGGTGTTGTTGAAGGGACGGACAGGTGTTGTTGAAGGGACGGACAGGTGTTGTTGAAGAGACGGGCAGGTGTTGTTGAAGGGACGGACAGGTGTTGTTGAAGGGACGGACAGGTGTTGTTGAAGGGACGGACAGGTGTTGTTGAAGAGACGGGCAGGTGTTGTTGAAGGGACGGACAGGTGTTGTTGAAGGGACGGACAGGTGTTGTTGAAGGGACGGACAGGTGTTGTTGAAGGGACGGACAGGTGTTGTTGAAGGGACGGACAGGTGTTTGATTAATCAGGAAATGGTACTCAACAACTTGTTAGCTCGGTACTAGGATGTGTGTGTGTGTGTGTGTGTGTGTGTGTGTGTGTGTGTGTGTGTGTGTGTGTGCTCACCTAGTGCTCACCTAGTTGTGTTTGCGGTGGTTGAGCTCTGGCTCTTTGGTCCCGCCTCTCAACCGTCAATAACTGATGTACAGATTCATACAGTACAGATGTGTGTGTGTGTTCTGTGCGGATCTGTTACACCTATTCTCTTTAAGTGACACCTGTCACAGGCGAGTCATCTCATCTGTTTCGTTACCATGACTACCACCATCCGACCAACGTGTCACTACCACCACCACCACCACCACCACAACAACCACCACAACCACTATTCACTGCTCAACAATTTGTCAACAGTTGTTTGCTTCCGATATGAACGATGTTTATCATGCATTTTGACGTGCTGAAGTCAAATGTTATAATTAAAGCCTCTGATTAGCTATTGTTTCAAAGATACAAGAGTTAAAAGTTTCGATTTTTCACAGAGTACAGTGTAGTCTGTAGCGTACAGAGATATGGAGTACATAACTGATTTCCAATAATGGAATGGATTTTTGTTCCATGCGTTCCTGGTTACTTC